CCTTGTGGTCTCTTCCAACTCTATGATTCTATGATTCTATGAATTAGATTCTAATTTATTCAGGAAAAAATGTAAATAGTAAAATCAATCCCAATTTAATTAACTATACTGCTTATTTTGTTTTATTTCACATTATGTTTGTGTCTGTGTTATTTAAAATTGCATTTTAATACTGTATTTTATATTACTGAATAGTAGTATATAAATGTTTTATTCTGCAACTGTTTGTAAAGTGGCATGTGCATAGATGGTGCTATATAAATAGATAAATGATGATAACAACAACAACTTCTTTGCTCCTGCTTGTTATTCGTGATTCCCCCCCCCCAAAAAAAAACAACAACATGGAACTTTCTTTCTGACAGCAATCTACAGATCTGCCTGTGGATTCAAGTGATTCCTAAATTTTGGACCAAAACACACTGCAGAAATTATCCTGTTTGAGACTGCTTTAATTGCCCAGGCTCAATGCTCGGGAATTTTGGGAACTGTAGTTTTGTGAGACATGTAGCCTTCTCTGTCAGAGAGCTCTGGTGCCACAATAAACTACAATTCCCAGGATTCCCTAGCATTGAACCAGGCTGGTTAAAGCAATCTCAAACTGGATTATTTCTGCACTGTGTTTTGGACTTTTGTCATGATTGAAAAAATTGATTGACAAAAAACAACAACTATTGCCATTACATTCAGTGATATGCAGGAATTAACATTACTAAGGATTCTGCATGGTGTGGTGAAGTCAATGGGAGGCTGACACCAGGCGTTTTCACACGGGGCTTTAGGAGGACGCATTCCTACCTCCGTCCGGCCCCACTCCGGCTCCATTTCCAGGTCGTTCACATGCGCGTGGCGGCAAACCCCGCCCCTTCCGGTGCCATCCCTGCTTCAGTCCAGCTCATCGCTCCGTGTGTTCAAACACACGGAGCCCTAAGTCCAGCCTCACTCCGGCAGAAAGGCCTCTAATTCCGGCTTCAGCGGCGGACAGGTAATTCCGGGTGGCAAAAGGAATTAGCTTGCCGCCGCTGGAGCCATTCCGGAATCAGCGGCACGAGCCGTTCCGGAATGGCTCCAGCCGGCATTAGGGACCCCCGTGTGAAAACGTCCACCACAAGTTACAGTGCTGGGTGACGCCAACCCTAGTAACACCACTGGCCATAAGCAGTGTTGCATAGTCTCCCCCTAAAAGGGACCCTCTTCTCAAGGAGGCCTCTAGTCCTCTGCAGTCCTGGGCACATGGTCAGGTTGCCTGTAGCCGAAATCATACTTTAATCCCGTGGTGCCCTCTTGAGTTGGGAGGAAGCTCCTCCAAGTCTCTTTTCCAGGTGATAGGTCCACTATTCCCTCCCCCAAGCATCAGAGATCTTCCAAGATAGTCTGTTTCTCATTGCTATTTGGCTAGGGATGTTGGACCCTCCTCTCAAGAAGATCCCTTCAGTGAAAGCACAACACCAATTAATTATTTAGAAAAGGCTGTGAAGTGCGTCAGGAGTCTGGGGTGATGCAAGGACAACATAGGCACTGAACGATGAACGTGTACTGGAACAAGCTTGGAAGCTGAACCCATTTAATCATTCAGTCTAAAGAACAAAAAAAGAGAAGAGGATGGAAGTTAGTGATCCTACCTCCCATTTCTTTATCTTTGTATGAAAAGTGGGTGACCATTTTGAATTGTAATTGCAGTGCTGGAGGAAGGGGAGGTTTAAACCTCTCCCCCCACTTCTGCTTTCTTGATGAAAATCATACACAGAGACACAGACTTCCTTTAGAAACTGATGGAGGCGGCCTGAATAACATCCAGGAGAGAGAGAGACAGAGAGAGAGAGATCCATCCAGAGATTGTTTGCTTGATCATCACCATGGACCAGACTCGCTTGTTTAACGTGTCATTGTTTAATGTGCCATGTGATTTCCCATTGTCCCTATGCAGACCTTGGAGAGTGCCCAAGTCCTCTTGGATCAGCAGTGTAGATGAACACAGTAAAATGGTTGATGAAGGCCTCCTTCAGAACTCAGAATGGAGGGAGCATCTACTCATATGTATGCAGCCTCCCCTCAACTAAACAATGGTGACTTGTTAGACATAGCCAAAAATGAGACGCTCAAGATCCCACAGTACGGACCTTATCACGTGGGAAATCTCATGCAGAAATGGGATTTAAAAGCTGGGGAATACCCGCAAAAGCTGGTTGATTTTCACA